TACATACATACATACATACATACATACATACATACATACATACATACGTACATACATACGTACATACATACATACAAAGTACATACATATATACATACATATATACATACATATATACATACATATATACATACATACATACATACATACATACATACATACATACATACATACATGCATGCATGCATGCATGCATGCATGCATGCATACATACATACATACATGCATACATACATACATTTATACATACATACATACATTATCTTTACCAGCTTCTTCCTTTTTGGGTCGCCGGGGTCAACGGTGCCCATATGTTCAATTCATTTTGGTTTATTTATATAGCACCATATCACAACAAAGTTGTCACTTTACAGGAACATTCACATACATAGAAAAGCCAATTAATAAAGTTCTCTATCTAAGGAAGCCAGCAGACAAGTTGAATTTTGGCTTTGTTGTAATCTGAACAAGCACAATGGCAACAGAAAGGAAAAAACTCTGTTTAAAAAGGAAGAAACCTCCAGCAGAACCAGGCTCAGGACAAGCGGCCATCTGCTTTGACCAGCTGGGTTGAGAGGACAGGAAGGAGAGACAGACGGACACAGAATGGTAGGTCCAGGTATAGGTCCAGGTGTACCTGAAAGACACAAATACACATGTTAAGGATAGAAATAATAATTACAAATACAAAGCAGGTTGAGCAGAGTAAGTAAAGACAGTAGCAGAGTGAAAGTGTGGTCAGTTTGTCCTCCAGCAGTCTAAGCCTATAGCAGCATAACTAAGGAACAGCTCAGGAAACACAAGCTGACCCCATATCCAGCAATCACTGTGCGAGAGGTGGGGGACACCCTGGACAGGTCTCCAGTCCATCACAGGAACACATAGAGACAAACGAGACAAACAACCATTCACTCACACCTAGGAACAATTTAGAGTTACCAATCAGACTAACATGCATGTTTTTAGTCTGTGGGAGGAAACTGGAGAAAACCCATACATGCACGGAGAAAACATGCAAATCTCGTCCAGAAAGGCTCCTGGCTGGGATTTGAAACGACGACCTTCTTGCTAAGAGGCAACAGCTCTACCAATTGCACCACTGTGCCGCCAGATGTCAGTTTATGCTGAATAAAAAAAATTAAGCTCATAAATCAATAACTACATGAATGAATTATGTTTGTCTTTTTTAATTTTTTGTGCTGACCATTTCATCTGAGACGAAAACTGGGTAAAATAAAACCTCTAAGATGTAACACTTTGTAACAACACCACAAACCGTTGTCTCGCTTCAAATGTAAATCAAAGATTATCAGATATGTTTATGATGCATTTTAAGACCACCACTTCCTCCTTTCAATATGGCAATCAGATATTAACCAAAAAAGACATACTTGTTGAACTTGTTTAATACTCTTTCCCAACACACACACACACAGGTTTGTTTTGCTTTCTTTATGGGGCATTTGCATAGACTTCCATTCATTTTTCATTAATTTCTTTAGCCTAACCCTGACCTTTACCCAAAATCTAACCATTACCAGTACATAACTCTAAACCTAACACATCCTCAATTCACACTTTAGTCCTAAACCTAACCATTACCAGTACATACCTCACCCTAAACCTAACCA